CAAGAGAGCACGGAAACTTCTATTAATTCCCCAGTCCAGCCAACTGTGGAGTGGCTGAATCTCTGCTGCCTTCCAGGGGTCCCCCATGTCTGTGGCTTGTGGCCTGGACAGCCTCATCAGCTCAGGTAGCAGGAGCTTTTCCTAACCTCCTGTTGGACAAAGACTGCCTCCGCCTTGGATGAGTTGGAGTCTATATTGATGTTGCCCTGCCCCTTGGGACATTCTCCCTTTTCCCACACTTTTTGGCCTTGGGGCAGCTGGGAACTTTAGGCCAGCAGATGAGGAAGCCCCATTCAACCCAGTGAGTGATACCCCTGCAGGCCCCTCTCTGGAACTACAGCTCAATTAAACCTTGTAGGGGAACATTTTAAACAAACAACCACACAAATGGCAGCCATCTTACAAACACAGTTAACTGCCATTTCGTTACACCTACCAACAGCCACTGAGGGAAAAGGTAAGTGCCACACAGGAGGCAAGCAGGAGAAGTGTCTTCGTCAAGAGAGAAATCCGTTTGCAAGTAATTCTGACAGGGCAGAGTGGCTGAAGGGGAAGTGGGCGGGGAAGAGGAGCAGACCCAGCACCTGGCCAATGGCACGCGAGTACTCTTGAGTGGCGGCTGATGGGCCAATAGCTGAGGGAGTGCATGGAATGTTGCCATGCGAAAACATGTTTATATATAAGGACAGGATTGCCAGGGTTTGCTAATTAATGCTTGTTTCCATGGTAAAAGTCACTACGAAAATTGGTAAGAAGCAGTTAAATATGTGTCATACATTATCCATGTTGGCTCATTGGTAGATATTTATTTATTTATTTATCAAACTTATACCCCGCCTTCCCCGCAAGCGGGCTCAGGGCGGCTTCCATAAAAGCATAAATACATTAAAATACACAATTTTTAACCATACAATAAAACATTATAAATACAAAGTGCTGGCGGCAGATTAAATTAATCTAGATGGTATATTACAGGAATAAATTTCCACTGCCCAGATGTTCCGCGATGTTTTCTGCTCTTAGTCAGTTAGATGTTAAGACCACAGGCCAGGCTCTGCAATAGCGCCCTGCAGTAGGAGCCTGCAGTGGCCTGCAGTAGTGGTGGCCCCTAACTAAATGCCTGGCGGAAGAGCTCCATCTTGCAGGCCCTGCAGAACTGCAAGAGGTCCCGCAGGGCCATGATCTCCTCCGGGAGCTCGTTCCACCAGGTAGGGGCCGCCACTGAGAAGGCTCCAGCATTGGTGGTAGCTAGCTTGGCCTCCCTCGGGCCAGGGAGGATCAACCGATTTTGAGATCCCGACCGTAGTGCTCTCTGGGGTATATACGGGGAAAGGCGGTCCCTAAGGTATGTCGGACCTCGGCCATATAGGGCTTTAAAGGTAAGAACCAGCACCTTGAAGCGGATCCGGTATGCTATTGGCAGCCAGTGCAGTGTCCTCAGCGCATGCTGGATGTGCTCTCGTCTAGGGAGGCCCATCAACAGCCTGGCCGCGGCATTGTGCACCAGCTGCAGCTTCCGGATCTGTGACAAGGGCAGCCCCATGTAAAGAGCGTTACAGTAGTCTAGTCTTGAGGTGACCATCGCATGGATCACTGTTGCTAGGTCAGCAAGGTCGAGGAAGGGAACCAACTGCCTGATCGGCCTGAGATGGTAAAAGGCCGACCTGGCAGTGGCCGCCACCTGGGCCTCCATAGTGAGGGAGGGATCCAGGAGGACACCCAAACTCCACACCTCCGGTGCTGGCACCAATGCAGCCCCCCCGAAGGTCGAAAGTGGGATCCCCGCCCCCGCACCGCCCCGACTCAAGCACGGGACCTCTGTCTTCGCTGGATTCAGCCTCAGTCGACTCAGTCTAAGCCAACCCGCCACAGCCTGTAAAGCCCCATCCAGGTCCTCCGGTCTGGATCCAGACTGGCTGCCCAACATCAGATAGAGCTGGGTGTCATCAGCATACTGATGGCACCCCAGCCCATACCTCCGGGCAATCTGGGCAAGGGGGCGCATATAGATGTTAAATAACATGGGGAACAACACAGCCCCTTGGGGCACACCGCACTCCAGCGGGTGTCTCCTGGACTGCTGTTCCCCCAGCGTCACCCTTTGTCCTTGGAGAAAGGAAGCCAGCCATTGTAAGGCAAGTCCCTGAATCCCCACGTCGGCCAGGCGGTGGACTAGTAACTGGTGGTCGACCATGTCAAACGCGGCCGACAGATCTAACAGCAACAGCACCGCCAATCCGCCTCGATCCAGATGCCTTCGTAGGTCATCAGTCAGAGCGACCAGAGCTGTCTCCGTCCCATGTCCCAGGCGAAAGCCAGACTGGAAGGGGTCGAGCATGGAAGCGTCATCCAGAAAGCCCTGCAGCAATAAAGGAATTTTAAATTTTAGTGCTCCATTCATGTAAATCTGTGGTAAGAACTACAGAGAAAGATCTGGCCAGTGGCTTAATTGAACCTCTTGGCACTTCTTCATAACCTTTCTTTGATACTTATCTGGAACCCATAATTTATCTCAGTAATCTCTACTACAACATCTCTTTGAGCTAAATTAGTATTGTTATAACCCCGTACACAAAAGAGGGTTGCTGTTGCCTTGCTCATGGTTGTTGATAAAGTGCAAGAGAGAGCTGAGATCTAAACTGCTGAACTCTTTGTTTACAATGAGTTTGGGCACCAAAGTGGCACCAATGTGTGTCCCATAGTTCAATGGTGCCATCTAGTGGTAAGAGACAATTCATGAGTTCTAGCATTCCTG